AGGGTGCACATCCATTTCTGGCTATGTGTTTTTTCTCATTCTGTTGTCAGTTGCCATTCTAGCATCCGTTCGAGACTTCCTAGTACATGCTGAGATATAATTATCTAGAATTCATGCATGGTCACCAAATAAGCCCTATCTTACAACAAAATTCTACAGATAGCCTAGCAAATAATCTAGTCACCTACACAACAGGCTAAATTTCCCTGTGAAGTGAAAGTGATCCCTGTGAGCTGTTTCATTTCAAAAGCAGTTTGAAATAGCACCATGGCCTTATTCCACCGGCAAACTCCAAACTCTCATCAGGAATTTTGATCAGAGCCTACGTGCATAATCCAAGTTAAATATACACGGTGCCTATAACTGGAAGATCCTGCAGTCTCTTCATCATCCAGAGACAGCATATGAATGACTGCATGTGCATAGGTTCTGTTCACAGCTTCTGATGAAAACATGGTGGGGAGCAGCAGAAAAAGCTGTTGCTGCCCAATTTCCCCTGTTCATGGAGATGTTTGGTCAATAGGACCCATGAACATTATCGCTAGTGAGGATATTTTCTATGATTAGCTTCATTCCACAATAGCTGGGTTAACAGAAACCAGATGCAGATACCAACCAAAGCCGAGATCCAAATCAAACATAATATGCAAATCTGTATGACACATACTTCCAATTCACCACACTAGCCCATATTAATGTAAACCTACAAATTTCCATGTTATTTTAGCCAATATTGCCCCCATACCTCACAGCCTGCAACCCATCTTAGCTATGTGCAAACCCAATTAATTTCAACATGGGGATTGTGCTCTGTCGTACTTGCTGTGAACTCTCCTTAGGACAAGGTCTAGTGGGGTCCAACTGCATTGTGTTATTATTCACAGCTCCAGGACCAATAAACAGCCACTGTGACTGAGTGTTACAACCCATTCAGTAGCTCTAGTTCCCATCTCAGAGTCCCATACAAGGTGCTGCAGAGCAGTGATCCAAGGTGAGGAGTGAGCCTGAGCTTAGGCTGTGGTGATTTCCACCATTAGTTTGAGGGGGCAAGTTAATCTGCCAAGACCATTAATTTCATAAATCACTGATAATCAAAACAGACCAATGATTCCATCAGGGCAAGACTCTGGGGGCAGAAGTCCAGGGCCTTTACCCAGCAGAATGAGCAGTGATGCCCTCCAATGGAAAACGGCTGGCTGACCACACTGTGAATTTTAAACCTACATTCAAAGCTACCTTCCCTAACCTGATGCCCTCTAGATAGTTGGATTACAACTTCCAGCATCCCTGACCAATGGCTAGGGGACTGATAGGACCTGTGCAAGAGGTCAGCTTTTAGAATCCCCTTCTCACTGAATCTAGAGTCCAAAATTATCTAATTGCACCAATGGTTTGGTGTACTACTAAATTGACAGCAGAGAAGAGGGATAAAATACCTATGGATACTAACACCAAAAGTAGCCTGAGGTAATCGGTGACATGGAAGAGCCATTTCAACCACTTTAGCTCATTTTGCCTGCCTGCCATTTGCCAGGTCCTCTGGGCTAAGACAGGCAAGCCATACTTCCTTCTTTCACATGTATTTTACTAGTTTCCTGGGTCAATTAATATAGTTAAAGGACTGAGCAACCTCCCTGCCATGCACTTTTGGCTTGTGCTTTTGAAAGCACCACAGCCACTGAGTTTGCTGCATTTTTGTCAAGAACTTTCATCCCAATTAGGAGCGGCTTTACCCAGACAGAGTTTATTTCCCCTGTGAGTCCAAACTGTAAGTGAGGAAAGGCATTTAAATTGCTCCTACTACGGGCTTGAATCTCTAAAGATAAAGGCACTTACTACAAAATGATTAGACGAGTCATTTAAGATATATGGTCCTCTGGACTGGCACTTTCTCTATTTTTCACTTCATCTATGAACAAATGAGAGGCTGCTTCCATCCTGGTAGATCCAAGAAAGTTTTTGAGAGTTAGGTAATAAAGAACAGGGAAGGTGGGGTAGCCAGAGGGGAGGGCATGATGTCCACTCAGTTGTGAGTGAATAAAAACCACACTTGAGACAAAGACATTAAGCATTTCTTCCACCTTCTCTGATGAAAGTGGAAAACTGAAGAAATCCGAGCTGGTTGAAGCATTTTGGAGAATTTAAGCACTATATCTACTTTAAAATCCTGACATTCCCAGACTATCCAAGTGTCCCTATTTTCCAGGGAAATCCCTGATTTAGAGAAGCCATACTGGTTTCTGATTTGATCCCAGAATGTCCCACTTTTCCTTAGGATGTCCCTCTTTTCATTGGAGAAATGTTGGAGGGTATGACATTATCTGACCCCCGCAAGCCGTCTGAATGCAATCCTGTATAGGGAAGTTTTTTAAAATGTTTAATGTATTATATTTTTATATGTGTTGGAAGCTATCCAAAGTGGCTGGGGCAACCCAGTAAGATGCGTTGGGTATAAATAGTAAAATTATCATTATGGAATGGGACATCCCTATTTTCATCTGAGAAATGTTGGGGGGTATGCATTTCAGTTTACCATGGATGTGGTTAGGGCATCTTGGCCTCTTTCTCACAGATGCTATTAGCTGTACCAAAGCATTCCAGAGCTTCACACAAACTGGACAAACAGACTGTTTTTCATTATGGCTCGTTTCCATGTAAGAGCTTTTTACAGAAGAGGTAAATGTACCTTTAATGGAGTCAACAGAGATCGCATTAAATAAAATGGAGGGAATATTTATGAATAAACTTCTGGAGGCTACCCATTCATCACTTTGCTTTCTTGCTCCAAAATCCACCGACGACTGTGGCAATTTACAAGCTGGGGAGTAATTTATTTATTTATTGTTGACAGCTCGACCCTGAACAAAGATCCAGTACAAACAACTCTAACCAGCACTAAATAAAGATTACAGGGATATTATGTCTTCTTTCAGGATATTTCTGGGTGACTAGTCACAAACCTGACTTATATTAATGTTTTTGTATTGGAAGAACCTGCCAGGGACACGGAGCATAATGAATTTCCTAAAGGTTCTAACACAGCCTTGACTTTTTGACAATAACAGGCACCTGGTTGCTGTTTTTTAAAAAAATAAAATGTATAAGCCTGTGGTATCAGGAGGCAGGAAGAAAATGGTTCTGGGGAAAGAAGGAGAACAATGTCAAGAAGGTTGACACAATTAGAGCACCGTAGTGAGTTACCCTACATGGAGCAAACTGGAAAAAGCATCTAATGACATTAAAAAAATACACCTATTGTCTCCTGCTAGCTATGAGACACATCTGAAATTTAAAACATACTTCCCATATAACAAGGTCATGCCTTGCTGTCACGATGACCCTCAAGCAGGCTGACCTATGAAGCCTAAGTTACTTTGTTATCTGCTTTGAATGACAAATATGGTCGGAAAACTTTTCTGCAGAAAAACAGAACCATTGTTCAGTTTCTGGCTATACATATTGTGAAAGATATCTCTCCCACACTTCTCCCATAAACGTGCTTTGCTATCCATTAAACACTTGGCTCTTCTGTTTCAAATACCTCTTCTCAATATCGAGCAGTGATGTTAGAACTGTGTCGTGGGAAACAAAGATTTCCCTAAAACTTGCCGAGTTTCCAATCCAGTACAAGGGGGTCTGCCAGTGTGTGTGATGGATAATATAGATGGTTATTCTATTATTATAACTTAGACATTCAGGCTTTCTCAAAAGTTTGTGACCTTCTTTTAAAGTTGTTTACTCTACATCTGCTACAAGCTTATCCTTGATATCATGAGTGATGGAATGGAGGAAGAACACAGAGGAGCATAGCTCCAGAATTTTTTTGGAGCAGTATTGATGACATTATCTGCCTGAGCAGCAGGGTAACTGATGAGCTGATGAACCTCCTTGCTCTGGAAAGTAAATGAAGTAGTTATTACATATGGTGGGTGTGTAATTAGTCACATACTCCATTCCTGTTGTAAGCTGGTTTAGTTATTGTTCAAACAAGGGATGGGACTCACTGTTTGCCTGTTTGCGGTTCTCACCAAATCAGCTCAGTGAATGTGGATACAGTGGTACCTCAGGTTATGAACTTAATTTGTTCCAGAGGTGCGTTCTTAACCCGAAACCATTCTTAACCTGAAGCGTGCTTTCGCTAATGGGGCCTCCCGCTGCTGCCGCCGCCGCACCGCCACACGATTTCCGTTCTCATCCTGGGGTAAAATTTGCAACCCGAGGTATCTACTTCCAGGTTAGCGGAGTTTGTAACCCAAAGTGTTTGTAACCCCCAGGTACCACTGTACTTATTCCACAGTATAGGCTCAGCCCATAGTGGGTATATCAATGGGATCTACTGTCAATATTTAGCTTGTTGAGCCAAAAATTACAATCTCCAGTCCAACAATGATTTTGATTCAAATGTAAGTCACCTGCCCCTGGGGCACACAACTTCTAAACAAACAGCATTCATTGTTCTTCAACTGAGCCTTGCCTTGATTAGTTAATAATATCAAGGAAAGGCTCACTTGAACAACAATGAATGTTGTTTGTAAAAGATGAAGTGTTTGTCTCTGAGCAGGAGGATAGGGTACATACTTTAGTAAAGTACCTACCTTATCCCCCTGCTCAGAAACAGACCTTAATCTTTTAACTGTTGATGTATTTGCCTGAGTTTTCCAGATCCAGTTACTCAAGATTATATTTTTATTTTCTAGGCTGAAATCCTACAACAGAGACATTTACTTCTTCATAAACATTTATTGGCTTACTTGTTCAGGATTTCAAATTTATAATCCACCCTTCCTCCCCAAAGGGAACACAGGAAGACTCTCACAATAAAGAAACACCCAAGAGCAATTTAAAATAATGCTATACAATACTGCAGATGGAAAGCAGTGTAGAAACTTCATAAAACTATTGGCCAAAAGCCTGGATTCTTAAAAAAACAAAACAAAACTTTACATCTTTCCTCAATGCTGATAAAGATTTGTTTATCCCTCTCTTTTCTGATTTGGGCAGTGCACGCTTCTGGTTGCATACAGGAGTGGAGAGAATCCGCATTTAGAAGGGAAAAGCGGTATTCTGTACGTTTGCTGTGTAATGCCAATGCAGGGCACACAGACCGTTCCGATACCCAAAAACAATGACAGCAAGCCAAGCAAAGTTACAAACAACCTCGGAGATCAAGAACAGTGATGAGCAGTTCAGGACGATAAGGTTATCAAAAGATGGGTATCGAAGACTGCTTGCAAGCGCTTGAATAACAGGCAGGAGATCAGATTCTGCACAAACATGCAGACTTTAACAAAACTTGCTCTTTTCCTCATTTTCCATTAGCTTTGTCTGCATCCAAAGTTCTAACAGAAAAGTGGGGTACACATAATAAACTAAGCCATTATGGAAAGTGTTCCCAGGGCATGTAAAATGTAAAGAAAGCTAACGTGGGGATCCACACCAGAACTGGCGTGGATATTCCCAAGTTTCCATTTTCATGTTGGAGAGGAAATCTTATTTTCAGTCTCAAGCAGCTAGATATATCTCAGGAAAACTGGAAGTGCTTCTCTGTCTTTCATCCCAGCCTCCTGGTCACTTAATTACAATTGCATCAAAGTCCCAAATGCTTCCAAACACCCAAAGTTCCCAGTGCTGAGGAATTTCCCTGTGCTTCGCCTGTGAGGGACTGCAGAGTTTCCTTGAGTCTTACAAGCCAGCCTCTGAGGGCTTTTGCACAACCCTGAGCTGTGATTACCATCTGAAAGGGAAACAGCACTTCACCTTTAAAGCCCTAAACGGCCTCGGTCCAGTATACCTGAAGGAGCGTCTCCACCTCCATTGTTCTGCCAGGACACTGAGGTCCAGCGCCGAGGGCCTTTTGGCAGTTCCCTCGCTGCGAGAAGCCAAGTTACAGGGAACCAGGCAGAGGGCCTTCTCGGTAGTGGCACCCGCCCTGTGGAATGCCCTCCCACCAGATGTCAAAGAGAAAAATAACTGCCAAACTTTTAGAAGACATCTAAAGGCAGCCCTGTTTAGGGAAGCTTTTAATGTTTAATAGGTTATTGTATTTTAGTGTTTTGTTGGAAGCCGCCCAGAGTGGCTGGGGAAACCCAGCCAGATGGGAGGTGTATAAAAAATAAATTATTATTATTATTATTATTATTATTATTATTATTATTAAAGACAAAGTTGTGAGCTTTCTGGAAAATGATGGTTCTACAATAACAAAAAAAGTATACCGTTTCAGATCATCTCTAGCCCACAGTCTCATGGCTTTGTAAGATAGGGGCTCAATTACATACTCCAAGGCTGTCTCAGAACACTCTAGTAACGGTGAAAGCTTCCATCAACAGGATTAGGTATTCCATGGTTACATTCCAGGCCCATAAGCTGAAACTACACTAGCTGGGTAATGGCCCCTAAGAACACGTTGGACAAGACCTCTATGCTTTACACTAGCCTTCCCTTGCCTCTTGTGCATAGTCCAATGTTTTGACCTGTAAAGACCTAAATGGTTGGACATTGCACAGCTATGAGGATCTGTATTTCACTTAAGGCTTAACTCACTACCACTTTCCAGGACCAAGCTTTTAGATAACCTGGTTTCATCTTTAGGCACAGGTGTAATTACAATTTATCTAGTGACAATATATATATATACACACTCCACCTTAAAACTCACAAAGCCTATGGTTTGCAAAATAGCTTGATATCAGTGTATCTGACCCTGAAAACTCATTTCAGACTTGACACAGCAGGCATGTCCAAAGCAATTTTCTGTAATTACTGTTGGACGAGCAAGCCCACATTCTCATAGGTGCTGCTCCACATATAATACCTTCTAAAAAGAAGTACCTTTAGCACAATGCATTGGCCGCCTCCAATGTGAGAAAAATGACAGTGGTGTTATTGAACTGTATCAAGGTCACACTCTGAATGAGCCACTATAATGCACATTAGAAAAATAGACCCTTATCTGTTTAAACATCTTATTCCTCCCACTGTATAAGCCTTCTTTGAAAAATGCCATATGATGGGCTCTTCAAGGATAGATTTGTACCTGTCTCTTGGCTAGATAATTAAAAGTTAATTCTAAAGGGCTACGGATATTTGTTTGCTACAAGACTTTCAAGTTCCTTAATTTCCAACTATCTTATCTGTCTCCTTCTGGTTCACCAGGCACCCATTCCTCTTTTAAATACATTTTTTAAACAATGGAATGGGCATTATCACCAGCATAGAGCAGTTGTAAGAGCAAGACAATTGTATTTTCCCCCTGGTATAAACTTATACCTGACTTTTGGTGATTTAAAAAAATCAACCAGTTCTATCAGATATATTGCATTACAGCTCAATGTTTAGACAATCATTAAGGGATACAGAAAATATAAATTATGGGTGTTAGCCAATGTTGCGCTACAAACACAACTTTCCTCTCCCCCTGCCCACAGCCCTCCCTATACTCCAGAGGATCCCTCAATGCTCCAGAGCAGATTTTGGGGGTTCACAGGTGAGGAGATGGAGAAGCTCCATTGAACAAGCAAAAGTCCATGAAGCAAGTGGACTGACATGGTTGAATGTCACCCAAGGTGTCCCACTTTAGTCATTATTGTGCCTTGGATATGGTGTAGTCCTTAACCATCTTCCACCAGGCTCTCTTCTCACAAACACCTGCCCCAGAACTGGCACCAGCACTGGCGGACCTTAGGCTCTCAAATTTCAGCAGTGCCCTGTGCAACTCTAAAATCCCCTCCCCAACCTCTCACACTCTGTTCTACATCATTGTAGCGGTGCCCAGTGTGGCTAAACTGGCTGTGTTGCCCAAAAACTGCCAGATATCCTGGAACCAATGCATGGGCCCCACCACGCTCACTGCAATGCATGCCCTGCCCCTCCCTTCGTTATTTTGGCTGGCACTCTAGGCTACATCAGCCAACAGATCTAATCACAGTACCCCTGACCAAACATCACTCTGGAGCACTGTGAGAAATCAAAAGGGTGGATAGACCCGGATTAAAAGATAAAGGGACCCCTGACCATTAGGTCCAGTCGTGGCCAACTCTGGGGTTGCGGCGCTCATCTCACTTTATTGGCCGAGGGAGCCAGCGTACAGCTTCTGGGTCATGTGGCCAGCATGACTAAGCCGCTTCTGGCGAACCAGAGCAGCGCACAGAAACGCCGTTTACCTTCCCGCCAGAGCGGTACCTATTTATCTACTTGCACTTTGATGTGCTTTCGAACTGCTAGGTTGGCAGGAGCAGGGACCGAGCAAAGGGAGCTCACCCCGTCGCAGGGATTCGAGCCGCCGACCTTCTGATCGGAAAGTCCTAGGTTCTGTGGTTTAACCCACAGCGCCACCCGCTTCCCCAGATTATACAGGTGTTAAAAAAACAAGACCAGGGTTTAAGCCTGCACCTTAACATCTGTGCTGACCACAATGGACACTTTTTTCCTTTTCATTTTTCTCAGATTGGTTAGCATAGATATGAAGTTCTCCAATTCAGTTTGCTGTCCCAAATCTAGTGCCCCCAAAACAGCCATTTAGGTTGACTGAACACTTGAGCCAACCCCGTGTTCAAATCCTCACTTAGATGACAAAGCTCAACCGGTGGACTTGGCAGCTTCATCTAACTCACATGATTGTCCTTAGAATAAAATGGAAGAGGAGGAACTAGATGCACACAGCCAGTCCAAGATATTTGGTTGCCTGAGGAAAGGACAAGATGGTTCTTCCTCCTATTCTGTGGCTGGCATTCATCACTGATGACAGGATAGCATCAGCCACTACAGGAAGAAGCTGTCTTGGGAGGTGCACAGCCGTCCACACAGAGTTCTGTCCCCCAACACCTCATCACCACTTACTGTTCACCAGCACCTGCCATCTAAGGCAATCTCACTGTGCCCAATGGTAGGGCTGGCACTACATAGCAGTGCTGCCTTGAACTCTTCATAGAAAATGCAGGATATAAATGTGGCATAATAAAAAATAATAAAAAACACCAGAAATGAAAAAAAAAAAAGTCTCAGTGTAGAGCACTTGCTCTCCTACTTGTTTATAATGAACAAAGCTCCTCTAAATATCATCATTCAAGAAATGCAATGAAACTTAAGCATGGCTGGTAAATGAGGCTAATGTAAATTGTCACTGGAGTTTGGATCCCAAGAGTTTCCTTTGCATACTTTCTGCATACTATCGTATTTGTATATGGATACAGCATAAAGCATCAGGCTCCATTTTGTGCATGTGTAAATTAGGTGCATGTCAGCATCTAATTGAACTACTATGATTAATTGTTTGATATTGAAATCGCATTATCTTCCCACTACAACATTTGCAACACGCACACTTGCTGTTGTGTGCCTTTTTTTTTCTGTGCTGAAACAATTTTTACATTAAATTAGAATTTTATCAAGTAAAGTAGATGAAGCACATATTTCATTATAATTTCTATAATATGTATAAATTTGAATAGCAAACACTATATAGCACTCTAATCAGGTAAAAAAAAATGCCTCGCAATGCAACTGAAATAAATCAGACAAAGGCAGCATCCTAATATAGTCATCGTTAATAAAATAAACACAAACCTCAAAGCTCTCGCAATTTGCCCAATCCTGAAGTCATTACTTTCATGAAAAATATGATATTCATTTAATTAGAAATTATATGCTGTTGAGAACTGTAGAATCCACATTACTTTAAGCACTGCATTGTTGAAATGAAATTGATTCCAGCTACTGCTTATATTGTAGCAACTATTCTAGGGACCAAGATGGGCCTCTCTTTGATCTTAATAGACAAGACTGATACCTGTCACTTGAAGGTTGCACAAATGAGTTCATTACCAGCAATTTGCCTGCAGCAGGTTTAGGGAACCATATTTTATCCTGAGGACTGTATTTCTTTCTGGGCAGCCTTCCACTGGTCAGATACCTGTAGTGGGTGGGACAAGAGACTAAAAGTTTGCGGAGCAAGGCGTGCAAATTTAATACCCTCCAAGCGTTCCGGATTTTGTCAGGATAGCCCTAAAATGTCTAAAGCAGTCACAATTTCTTACTTCACTCCAGGCTGCCCCAATTTCTCCCAGCCAGCGGATGTGGGCGACGGAAGCAGTTCCTGAGGTGACAGAGGCATTTGGCATGATGGCTCCTTCCCAAACCCTAGTTAGCACTTACTAGGCTTTGGGAAGAAGGAAGGTGGACTCTCGGACCCTGTCAGAGCCCTCACACTTCCTGCCTGAAGCAATAGGAGCAGGTGCTTTCTTCAGGTGAGGGAGAATGGGCTTGCCCAGTCTAGGTACCACTGTCACGTGTCCAAATGCAGCGAGGAACATGAGATGCACCAGCTGTGGAGGGTGTGGGGCATGTCACAAAGGAGTGTGTGTGTTGTGTCTAGAGAAGCAGCAGAGGTGTTGGCATACACCTTTTTTAAGGAAGTTCGCAAAAACAACAACAGCACTTTTGACATGGGTTGCCATATGTCCGGTATTTTTACTGAGAAATTGCAATTTCTGGGAAGTTGAATGTATGGCAGCCCTGATTTATCTGTTTGGCTGGTTAACACTACTGGATTTCTTGTTTTGTGAATGAGTCTAGAACCATCTTCAGTGCACACTTGTGCTTTGAAATTCGGGAATTCTGTAGTATCCAGGCATGTGGATGAAGCAGACCAATATGTCTTATTTTAAGCATATGCATATATGTTTTAGATTATAGGGAAATTGACATTTCAAAGTGAAAGGTTCCAAAATCCTTAAGTATCAGATGAATCGTCTGCTGAACCCCACACTGAAGTGGATTGTCATCTCTATGTCAGCATTTATGTATTTTTTTTTAAAAAAAATTATCAACATCTAGCCCACCCAATTCCTAGTGCAGCCAGCAATATGCTATTTTACCTCAAAATCACATTGCTTTAACCTCATTTGCATATCCTCCAACATTTCTCAGATGAAAACGTCTCTATTTTCATCTGAGGAATGTCGGAGGGTATGAGATTTAACCTTTGTACAATAAGCTAATTTCTACACACACTCACACACTTCTTTATTCTCTAGCCAGAGAAGCAAGAGGCATTATCAGAGTTTTAGGATGCGTCTTGCCCAGCAAAGACATTCAAGGGGAGTGCACAGCACAGCTGGGGATGAGTGTGGCCTG